TTTCGCATTACTAGTGGCGAGGAGAGGGGGAAGTTCTGAATTGTGCGCATGTTACATCAGTCCGTGTTTAGTAGCATCCAAGTTTCGCCTGCGATCACACATTTTCTCAAACTTGTGTTATATCGTGATATATGTACATGAATCCTCCAGACCTACAAGATGACCTCTCTGAAGAATTTAATTTCATCAAGATTCAGTTTCTGCCTCCCAACACCACTCCGTTACTCCAGCCCATGGACCAGCGAGTTATTTTTAACTTTAAGAAGTTCTACACTAAAGCAATCTTCGAGAATTGTTTTCAGGTGACTGAAGGGACCAACCTTATTCTCAAAGAGTTTTGGAAAAATCACTTCCACATCGTTGCCTGCCTCAAGGTGATCGACAAGGCGGGGAAAGGGGTTACCAAGTGAACCCTAACTTCTGCTTGGAAGAAGCTTTGGTCGGACAGCGTTGTCGATATGTGTCTTTGAGGGGTACGAGACAGTACCTGTGGAACCTGTAGTCAACGAGATTGTGTCTTTGATCACTATCATGGAATTGTGTGTGGATAACAGTGATATCGAAGAGCTTGTGGAAGAGCACACCCAGGAGTTTATGGAGTTGCATTGTGTTTCACAGAAAGAAGTTTTGGAGGAAAGTTTTTCAGAGGAGGAGGAGGATGTAACATAAAAGCAACAGTCTTCTGGCGAAATAAGAGAAATGCTGAAAGCATGGCAAACTGTTGCATTTTACATTGAGAAGCATCACCCTAATAAGGAAGTGGCTAAGCGCGTTGCACATTTATTTAATGATAATGCTGTGTCGCATTCTCGCCAAATTTTAAAGCGTCGACAAAAAAAAAGTCTGGACATCTTTCTAGAAAAAGAAATAATCGGCTATGTATCATAATTATTTCGACTTTTTTTTTCTGCAAAACGAATTCGCATTCCAGAAGGATTCGGGTTTCTTCCGCCTTTGAAGAAAAGATAAAGATGATTCACTCTCCTTAACAATATGTTTATAATTTTCTTTGAATAAACGTTATACATACAATTTTGTGAGTATTTTTTTCGACATGGAACGCATTATCGTATTTTACATTAATTTATATGAGAAAAATTGTTTCGCATAACGAGTGTTTCGCTTAACGAGTATGATTCTGGAACGAATTGTAATAGGGTGGAAGCGACGAAGACTACAGTACAACAGATTAAAAGTCTTTGAAAGTTTATCCTGGTTTGAAAATGCCAACCAGCAAATTTGAGAAACATTGGCAGTTAATAGATTTAGACGATAACACGGGAAAAATCAGGCCACGGGGTATTTAAACGGCCGACTGATTTATTTGGCCCTTCTCCTATCTGGTGGTTGCTCCGGCTTGTTACGGTCAAAACGCCCTGTTGTCGTTGTCGACTGCACTTGGTCGCAATGCACAGGTGTGTCAGATCGGAATGGCTGGGCGTCGCTAGATTGACTCGTCTCAGGGTACGTTCCTTTGGTTAGATTTAATATTAATTTTCATTTGCATTCTTGCCAAGAAATAGTTAGAAGGTAGATCGCTGAATATTTGAGGTTTTGTTCCAGCACGTGGTCGTTAATGACGTTATTTGTTGACCACGCTGATGTAATGTGAAGTTAAATAAAATTATGTTCAACGTTGTATATATAGTTGCAGTTGTTTCCTTCAGCTTACGACTAGTAGTTAGTGTGCATAGTTTCCTAGTTTTTTTTAGTTTATTCGTTACCTGGGCTATATTAGACTTTACACAGAAGATCTTATTGCCTGGGTGAGATATTAACATCTCATCCCCACCTAACGAACTATTTTCCCTTTTTTTTTTTTGTATCTTGGTACTAAAGGGCCTTCTCTGCCCCAGTACAGAATCCTGCTCGTTAAGCGAGGTTCCTCTGTACTTCTATTGGGGCACGCACACAGAGACCATATTTATAACCATAGTTGTTTTCATAAGGGATGCATGTGGTCAGTTTTGTTCTCTCCATCAAACAAGCAGACAGAACAATATTAAATTAATTTTCTTCCTTACTTTCTCTCCAAGACACATTTGGGGCAGGTGAACAATAGAGAGACGCGAATCGATCATTATCGTCTGGAGAGAATGGTACAGCTGGGGTGACCAGGGGATCTGGTCAACTTTCTACACCCAGAGAAGAGAATGGTACAGCTGGGGTGACCAGGGGATCTGGTCAACTCTCTACACCCAGAGAAGAGAATGGTACAGCTGGGGTGACCAGGGGATCTAGTCAACACACTCAGAGAAGAGAATGGTACAGCTGAGCCGACCAGGGGATTTAGTCAACACTCTACACTCAGAGAAGAGAATGGTACAGCTGGGGTGACCAGGGGATTTGGTCAACACTCTACACTCAGAGAAGAGAATGGTACAGCTGGGCTGACCAAGGGATTTAGTCAACACTCTGCACTCAGAGAAGAGAATGGTACAGCTGGGAGTGACCAGGGGATCTCGTCAACACTCTACACTCAGAGAAGAGAAGAGAATGGTACAGCTGGGAGTGACCAGGGGATCTCGTCAACACTGTACTCTCAGAAAAGAGAATGGTACAGCTGGGCTGACCAGGGGATCTCGTCAACACTCTACACTCAGAGAAGAGAATGGTACAGCTGGGCTGATCAGGGGATCTCGTCAACATTCTACACTCAGAGAAGAGACTGGTACAAGAATGCCCTGGTACTATCTGTCACAGTGAGCCACACTAAAACGTTACAACGGGTATAGAGCGAGTGGAAGACCTCGAAAAATATAGAGTGATGACATTGAGAATAGTCTTACAGAAATGAACATCAATCTTAGAAGTGCTCTTGACAGAGCTCATCAACGAAAGTTACATCTCCCCCCGAGACTTTGATGAGGTACAAGGTGAAAGAGAAGAAAAATAAGCAAAAATACATTATAAATACTTGGTGGGGGGGGGGGAGTTCTGATATAATGTTGAGGAAGACACAAATAGTAATGTATGATTTCACCCATTTATATCATACTGCAGCTGAGATACCCATTTTCTTTTTAAATAACACCTGCACCAATTTGTAAACGCACTATAAAAGCTACTTCAATCTCAAACCTACCCACACTGCACTGCAGGTTTCTTTTGAATTCTACCTTATCCCGATACATAAAATTGTGGCATGCGGTTGACAGAAATTAAAAGCAGGAGGATGGCCATAGCAATGCAAGGATTAAACAGCGATAAAAGTGTATGGTTAAGCACCAGCAAGGAGGTTAAAATTAGAATTTTGAGAGCATGCATCTTCCCTGTGGCTACATACGGATGTGAGTCGTTGACTATCTCCCAGTCGTTAAGAAAGAGAGCTTTTGAGCTGAAATGAGATAAAACATTCTCAGAATATCTTGGACAAAGAAGAGGAGAAATACTGACATCTTGAAAGATCTGAACATCAAGGAAGTTTGGCTGATAAACAGCATCCTGTCTCGGAAGCTGAAATATTTTGGTCATGTCAAGCGCCACGACGAATTGGAGAAAAATTATAGAAGAAGGCATGGTACCAGGAAGGAACCGACCAACACAAAGATGGGCACAGAGTATAAGTGACTCCTAGAATATACAAGTATATGAGGCAGGAGAGCTGGGGAGAGACCGAGTTTCTTTCATGCAGACCGTGATGAGAGCGACGTTCTGCAAAGGTCCTGCTTCATGATGATGATTGTTGAATTCACGACAGGTGAAGAAATGAAAGACATGTATGGGCAACCGGTCGTATCATCTATTATCTTTAACAGTTGATGCAGGATACCCGTGTGGGTTCCGAGGCCCCTTCGTGGGGAAAACAAGAATAGACCCTCTGCCTACCCAAAAGCATGTCGAAAGAGTCGACTAATTGAGAAGCTTCCTTTGAAGTCGGAGTGCATCTGCCCAAGAGGCCATTAACCAACAGTCTGCATTCAAGTAAATCAGATATGTAAAACTGATGCACACGCAACACTCAGGTTCTGGAGCAGGACTGCAGTTTAGAAGTGGACGAACAACCAAAACTTTCCACCAGAGTGTACAGCTGGTGAACGCGAAGAAGAAGAAGTTGATACAGGCGGTTGCTGGGAGAGGGCAAGAGTTCCCGACTGGATTCCGTCTATGATAATTGTTCGTTGACATATACAAAACTCCGGCGGAAAGTTTTTGTGTGTGTGTATTTTTATGACGTTCTAGGGCTGCGTTTTGCATGCACATCCGTTTTACAGATATGGCTTAATTACGTGCGGATTGTTGGTTCCTCACATCCCTGGCAGATATACTCAATTGAGACTTCAAAAGAAACGATCATATCAACGTTGGCCAGCATCCTGGTTGGCAACCTGTTTCTAGGATGACGACAGATACATGACTTTGTTCGAGCCCTGGTGATGGTATACCAACCCGTGTGGCTCAGCACAGCTTCTTCTTCTTCTTCTCCATCTTGAAATCAGTGCCATGTGGCGTTGGCAGATGTATATCCACAACTTTTTGTCTCGTGTACTTTCAATCAGTTCTGACACGGAAGGTCTTCCACAGTCCAGGCCTTGTGGGGCCGGCAGTCATGTATATCCACAACCTTCTGTCTCGTGTACTTTTAATCAGCTCTGATACAAATCATGTGTGTCTGTCATGTTGTCAAACTACCCAGTATCTCCTTTCTTTGTTTCTCTTCCCTCTAACTTTCCTACTGTCACGATGTACTCAAATTTTCTCCTTCCCATCACATGACCAGAGAACCAAGATTGTCACTTTCTGATGTGGGCAATCAGTTTTCTTGGTGAGTCAGTTTCTCTGAAGACATCTTCGTTACTCCATTCCTCTGTTCAGGGTATTCTCATCATTCATCTCTAAAACCACTTCTCTGCAGTTTCCAAATAATTTTTCACGAATCTACCAACTGTCCATGAATCTCTTCCGTATATCAGAATAGGACTTATAAAGCTTTTAAGAGTTTTCTTTCTTGTCTCAACTGACAAAGAAAGATTGCATAAAATATTCTTTATTTTTGTAAAATGCAAACTTTGTGCTTGAGTTATTCTATATTTAACTCATTTAATACATATCCCTCTGATGCTATCATGGTACCCTCTGATGCTATCATGGTACCCTCTGATGCTATCGTTGTACCCTCTGATGCTATCGTTGTACCCTCTGATGCTATCATGGTACCCTCTGATGCTATCATGGTACCCTCTGATGCTATCATGGTACCCTCTGATGCTATCATTGTACCCTCTGATGCTATCGTTGTACCCTCTGATGCTATCGTTGTACCCTCTGATACTATCGTTGATGCTATCATGGTACCTGATACTGTACCCTCTGATGCTATCGTTGTACCCTCTGATGCTATCGTTGTACCCTCTGATGCTATCGTTGTACCCTCTGATGCTATCGTTGTACCCTCTGATGCTATCGTTGTACCCTCTGATGCTATCGTTGTACCCTCTGATACTATCGTTGTACCCTCTGATGCTATCATTGTACCCTCTGATGCTATCGTTGTACCCTCTGATGCTATTGTTGTACCCTCTGATGCTATCGTTGTACCCTCTGATGCTATTGTTGTACCCTCTGATGCTATCGTTGTACCCTCTGATGCTATTGTTGTACCCTCTGATGCTATCGTTGTACCCTGATGATGCTACCCTCGATGCTATCATGTACCCCCTGATGCTATCGTTGTACCCTCTGATGCTATCGTTGTACCCTCTGATGCTATCGTTGTACCCTCTGATGCTATCGTTGTACCCTCTGATGCTATCGTTGTACCCTCTGATACTATCGTTGTACCCTCTGATACTATCGTTGTACCCTCTGATACCCTATCTATCATGTACCCTCTGATGCTATCGTTGTACCCTCTGATGCTATCGTTGTACCCTCTGATACTATCGTTTGTACCCTCTGATGCTATCGTTGTACCCTCTGATACTATCGTTGTACCCTCTGATACTATCGTTGTACCCTCTGATGCTATCGTTGTACCCTCTGATGCTATCGTTGTACCCTCTGATGCTATCGTTGTACCCTCTGATACTATCGTTGTACCCTCTGATGCTATCGTTGTACCCTCTGATGCTATCGTTGTACCCTCTGATGCTATCAGGGTACCTAAGTACTTATATGCATCAGTTTGCTTGAGGACTTTCCCATTTACTCAGCTTCTGTGCATCCTCTCTATGAGAGTAAAGGTTGGAACAGTTATGATGGAATACATATCCAGCAAGCAGGGATGACAGTCTCGGTTTGTTTGTTTGCGTTTACTGGCTGTTCACCCCAAAAGAAAGTTCTGGGTTTTCATCTGTTTCTGAACTTTGGCTTTGTCCAGGTCCTTCTTCTTCTTGTGTTCGCTTTCTGATTTACACCCAAAGACAGGTTCCTGTGGTAAACCTGACTGTTTTTATGAGTTCCTTTTTAGTCTTATACAACTTTGTGTACAGTGGTGACTCTCTGGGCCAGTATCCTCTTCTTAATGGGCCATACAAGGGACAGTCTTGCAGGACATGTTCTGTAGTCAGAACACATATCCCACAGGGGAACAAAGGTGAACTACTTAGACAAAGCTTGTGCATATGCTGGTTAAGTTTGTTATGTCCTGTCCTGAGACGTAGGACAATGACCTGCCCATGCCGGTCAAGTAAGTGGTAGCCATCTCTGGCCAGACTCTGTTCACTTCTAATAGCCTGGATGGCCCTTTTCTTCTCATAGTATGTTACTGCATTCTCTTCCTGGTCACATTCTGCCCCTTTCTTAGCAAGTTTATCTGCGGTTTCGTTTCCTGATATACCACAGTAGGATGGCACCCACTGGAGTACAGTACGTTTTGGGCAGCCACCTTGCCAAGTTCAGATCTCAAGTGAGAGAGTTTGCCACTCTTGAGGGCTTGAAGCACTGATAGCGCATCTGTGAATATGACCACTTGGTGGCCGTCAGAACTGGTGTTGTGTAACAAACATTTCGGCAGCCTGCTCTAGTGCTACGATCTCTGCTGTGTAGTTGGAACAGAATTTACCAGTGGGTTTACACTTTGTGTAGCGATGGTTGCCTGGGTCTGTAATAAAGACTCTAGCAACCCCATTTCAACTGCACTGGTTGCTGATCCAGTCCAGGTCCTGAGACTTGTATTGCATCCGTTTTACAGATCTAGCTTATTTCTATGCAGACAGTTGTTTTGATTGCCTCTCAGGTAGATGCACTCCGACTCTAATGAATCAACCCGAATTAATTGCCTCCAACGACATGCTTTTGGAGCTGGGGGTGGAGTAGGTTCACCCTTCCACCCTTCCAGTAGATTCCCAGAACCCACACGGGAAGTCTGAATTAAACTAAACACAAAATATAATGTCTGTAATGAATTTTACATTTTAAACTTGACAAACACCACAGAATTTCAGAACAACACATTTTTAATCAGCAAATTTTGTTAAATTAAAACATTGTAGCAAAAGCAGTAATCACATAAACACATGCAACACCTTTAAGTTAAGATTACAGACTGGTTTACAGTTATATTCTGATTGAAATATCTTCATATATTTCCTTCACTCTATTAAAAAATGAATTGATTTTACCAAATGAGAAACAAGTCACGTTGGCTATAATAATAGTTTGTTGCGTATCCTTTACAAGACTTTGCAGAACCAATCCTAGGATTTTATTTTTTCTGTGGTTTTATAGGCACATTTACATTCAGTAGTTTGCCATTGTTTACTAAATGGTCGCTTCTTGATTCCACTGTCAAAACCAATGCAAGGCGGTCTATTGTCAAGTCGCCTGCAGCTAGGATCGAAAACCGGCATCCCAGAAATACAAAGCGCGTTTGCAACACCTAAGCAACACAGGTTAACTAGTTTCTATAATAATCAGTACAAATATTGCAGCGTTTGGAAGACTTGCCTAACAAATTTGTTTCTTAAAATTCTTGTAAATTATTACAAAAATACTTACAAGAGTTGATCAGGCATCCAAAACGTAATTATACGGATAGAATATAATGAAACATAACGTGAAAAAAACGTGTCCAAAATATTCACAATAGCTTTACTTTAGTCAACCTTTCAACAACTCAGCATCTACCAAGTAGCTCATATTCCTTTCCTATGCTTCCTTCCTAAACCTTTTATCTCCCGATCTTCTTTTTTTAGGTCTGCCTTTAAAAGGAAGCTTAGCAGGTTGTGGTTTACAGCTGGGCTGTGATATCTATACCTCTCAACTCAACATATTCTTTTTCAGAAAATCCTTAATTAGTCACTAGCTTCGGGTCTATTCCCTCCTCTTCCTTTCCTTCTTCCCTTTCCTTCTTCTCTCTCCTTCTTCAGCTTCATGAGAAGCTGATAATATTTTTGATAATGCTGAACCCGAAGACAGCTCTGACGTGCTTCACCACGCTTCACCTTCAGGTTATGTAATTGTTTTGTTGCCTGAGATTTGTCATTATTGACCAGCGAAGTCTTGACAGCGTTGATTATATCGTCTCTGTCCATGCATCTTCCCTCACAAGGTGGTGCATTTTTTGCCAGATGGTCTGCGCGTTCATTACCTTTTACTCCAGCATGCGCAGGTGTGTAGATCCAGGTGATAGAGGTTAAATGTGACCTGCCAATGATGTCTACCCATTCAGAGCGAAGTTTGTGTTTTTCAATTCTTTCTAGCATGGGCAGGCAGTCTGATACGATTACTACATGTGTGAAGCCTTGTTCAGCTGCCCATTCTAGTGCTTTGGAAACAGCCATGACCTCCATGGTCATGCTTGATGTAGTTGTCTTGAACGAGCCACTATCCTCTTTTATCACTACACCCATCTGTTGGGCTGTGAATGCCCATCCTGACTTTGACCTGTATTTCACGGACCCGTCTGTGTAGATGACAATGTCTCCCGGACTTGAATGCTTATCTATCACTGCCCTTACCTTAGTGTCCATGTCGATGGAATCCTGTTTCTTGCCATTCCTTTTTACTTCGATGAAAACCCTACAGTAGTGGAGGGATGGAGAGATGATGTGGGAGAGACAGACAAATAGGAAAAGAGGGACATGCAGATTGGCAGATGAAGAGCGAAGGGAGAAGGGAAAGAAAGAGAAAGATAAGATGATGAAAAAGATAAAAGACAAAGTGAGAGATGGAGGGAAGGAGACAGAGGGTGACAGAGACTGCTCTTTTGGTGTATCCACCCATTCTTTGTCGTGTCTGAGCTCGTGTAGGCCACATACCTTCTGTATTATTTTTTCAGCCTCGGCCATCCAGGGGCGACGTGAAGCACTTTGAAGTTCGTGGCTGCTGTTTTTTGATATCTTCATGTACTCTTCGAGCAGTGCAAGTTTGTATCTATAAGCTATCGTCGGTAAATTCAGGAGATATAGCATGCCACGGCGTGAGATATTGTTTGTTAAATTTTTTATTAGTCTCATAGCTATTAGTTTCATAGCCGTATTTGTTTTTTGGACCTCAACGATCCTGGGGCGACGCTTACGCCAATGCGCTGCTGTTATCTTGATAGCGCTGTGAAGTGGGTGGTTGCTGTCTTTTGATATATTCATGTACACTTTGGGCAGTGCAAGTTTGTCTCTAAAGGCCATCGTCAGTAAATATCGCATCACATGAGATGTTTTTGTGACGCCAAATAAGAGTTTCATAGCCTCATCTTGTATTTGGTCCATTCTTTTCAGCTGGGTTTTGCTGAGAACGACAAGGCCCATCCCACTGGTCATGACGTTTAACACACTGTCCTGCCAGAAGAGCAACAGTTCACTTTCTTTAACACCATCTGCTGCCTTCGCCTGCATTTCTTTCAGAGCTTTAGTAGCTGCTTTTATTCTGTGTTTTGGACTCAATACTGCACATGTTCTCATACTTTTTTGATGTTGTTTGTCTTTTTTGTTGCCTCTGACATCCAAACATGGTGAAATTTGTTTCTCTTCTACTAATTTATCATCTGGTTGTTTATCTGTCAGCACTGCTTCTTGTTTCTGTTTCACTCTAGTATCTTGTACTTCATCTGTCTGTCCTGATTCTTGTTCCTCTTTGCCTTTAGTATGACATATTTCTTTATCTGTCTGCCCTGCCTTTTGTTTTTCTTTCACTATTTTAGAATCTGGCTCTTTAGATGTTTGCACTGCTTCTTGCTTCTGTTTCACTTTAGTATCATTTAGTACTTCATCTAGTACTTTCATCTGTCCTGATTCTTGTTCCTCTTTGCCTTTAGTATGACGTATTTCTTTACCTGTCTGTCCTGCCTTTTGTTTCTCTTTCACTATTTTAGAATCTGAATCTTTAGATGTTTGCACTGCTTCTTGCTTCTGTTTCACTCTAGTATCATTTAGTACTTCATCTAGTACTTTCATCTGTCCTGATTCTTGTTCCTCTTTGCCTTTAGTATGACGTATTTCTTTACCTGTCTGTCCTGCCTTTTGTTTCTCTTTCACTATTTTAGAATCTGAATCTTTAGATGTTTGCACTGCTTCTTGCTTCTGTTTCACTCTAGTATCATTTAGTACTTCATCTAGTACTTTCATCTGTCCTGATTTTTGTTCCTCTTTGCCTTTAGTATGACGTATTTCTTTACCTGTCTGTCCTGCCTTTTGTTTCTCTTTCACTATTTTAGGATCTGGTTCTTTATCTGTCTGCCCTTCCTCTTGTTCCTTTTCCCCTGTAGTAGGATCCAGGAACATATCTGTCATTTCTGTCCCTTGCTCTGTATTTGCTTTCATTTTGACACCTTTCCCCATTTCAGACAAAAAATAATCTGACAAGACCACGACAGGCTGAGGACCTGGATTCTTGCCGTGCTCCATATCAGAAGTAGCCTCTAATGATGCCATCATTTAGAAAAGCTGTTCTCTTTTTATGTCCGATCTAGAAAAAAAACAGAAACTTACATACAACAATCTATAGAAGAAAAGAAGAAACTTACATACATCAATCTATAGAAGAAAAAAAAAACTTACATACATCAATCTATAGATAAAAAAGAAACTTACATACATCAATCTATAGATAAAAAAGAAACTTACATACATCAATCTATAGAAGAAAAAAAAAAAGAAAAAAAAACTTACTTACTTACATACATCAATTACATAGATAAAAAGAAAAAAAAAAAAAACTTACATACATTACATACATCAAAGAAAAAAAGAAAACTCAACAACAATCTAAAAAAAAAAAAACTTACATACATCAATCTATAAAGAAGAAAAAAAAAACTTAATTCAACTATAGAAGAAAAAAAGAAACTTACATACAACAATCTATAGAAGAAAAAAAAAAGAAACTTACATACATCAATCTATAGAAGAAAAAAAAAACTTACATACATCAATCTATAGATAAAAAAGAAACTTACATACATCAATCTATGGAAGAAAAAAAAACTTACATACATCAATCTATAGATAAAAAAGAAACTTACATACATCAATCTATAGAAGAAAAAAAAAACTTACATACATCAATCTATAGATAAAAAAGAAACTTACATACATCAATCTATAGAAGAAAAAAAACTTACTTACATTACATCAATCTATAGATAGATAAAAAAAAAATACATCAATTACATACATCAACAATCTATAGATAAAAAAAACATACTCTACATACATCAATCTATAGAAGAAAAAAAAACTTACATACATCAATCTATAGATAAAAAAAGAAACTTACATATAGAAGAAAAAAAGAAACTTACATACATCAATCTATAGAAGAAAAAAAGAAACTTACATACATCAATCTATAGAAGAAAAAAAGAAACTTACATACATCAATCTATAGAAGAAAAAAAGAAACTTACATACAACAATCTATAGAAGAAAAAAAAAGAAACTTACATACATCAATCTATAGAAGAAAAAAAGAAACTTACATACATCAATCTATAGAAGAAAAAAAGAAACTTATGGTGTCGCCGTTACCGGTGACCTAATTATAAATTCTTTAGAGGTTAAACGGGGCATCTGGGATCTGCTTTGTTGGTCTGCCGTCCAGACTGAGATTTATCAATCTCAGGAGAGTTCGGTAAACATTTAGACAGCATCTCGTGGGGACAAACTGATCAGTCGATCGATTTCCCTGGCAATTCAATTTTTTGGTGCAAACCTATCAAGTCTGTCCCGGCAAAACATACCAAAACATGGGGCATAAGAAATGTTTACTAATTTGTAGTTACTACTAACCAGATGTATTTACCAAGTTATCAGTTACTTGAACGATGTTGGACGATTGAAGGAAATAACTCGAAACTTTGCTTGTTCACTTTCAATATGACGTATTCCAATATGTCGGCTTACAGATCCGGCGGGGAAATATATGTGTTGTAGGTGTGCAGTGCGCGGGTGTGTCACATGACTTCAGGTGCACTTATAGAGTTGGGAACTATACACCCCTAAGTACAAGTGGATTAAAGACTGTTTTCACAAGCGGCGCATCGGAAAGATGACATCATTCACTTTTTTAATGGACCAGATAGATCGATATCACGCCGGCCGCATTACTTCTTTGGACATTTCTTCCCTGGTACCCATTTTAGGCTAGGTCGACCTATGGAACCTAACCCTTTTATCACAGTATTCAGGCAAAGACTTAAATGTCTGGCGAAATCAAAACACGGTGTGCTTTAAGCAAATCAGGCCCTGTCAAAATTAACACTCCTTTTGGCAAATATTTGGGTTCATCTGGATAAAGATTCATATTAGTGCGTGCAGAACAAGTCTATTTTAACCAGTGTAGAGTTTCCATACTGAGGGTACCCGCTGTCAATTGGTTAACTACTCGTCTTGACTACGTCCTTCTTTTTCTCCCCTAGTGTCGCCCACAGCCCCCAGACACTCCCACCCTCATCATTCTCTCCAGGTAGGAAAGGGGTTTTCATTTTCTTTCTATGAGCTTGTTACCGAGTGCCACAGGCGATAGATAACACCTGCATTGTGCAGACACAGTAACCCCCCCCCCCCCCCCCCCCCCGCCACTCCCTTTCCCAATGCGGGCGCTCCAGGCAACATATCTGCCTGCTCGTTCTCAAACACACCTACACATCCGTGCAAAATATCAGAGGGACTTTAACCGTCTGAGACCTTTGGATTGATGCGAAGAAAAAGTAGAAGATGAAGAAGAGAGGGGGAAGAAGAGGAAGAAGAGGAGGAAGAAGAAGAAGAGGAGGAAGAGGAGAAAGAAGAAAAAGTAGAAGAGGAAGAGGAAGAAAAAGAGGAGGAAGAAGAGGAGGAAGAGGAGAAAGAAGAAAAAGTAGAAGAAGAAGAGGAGGAAGAAGAGGAAGAAAAAGAAGAGGAAGAAGAAGAAGAAAAGGAATAAAGAAGAAGAAGAGGAATAAAGAGGAAGAAGAGGAATAAAGAAAAAGAAGAGGAAGAAGAGGAAAAAGAAGAAGAAGAAAAAGAAGAAGAAGAAGAGGTTGCAAAATCAAGGATGAGGGTGAAAGGAAGAAGGTGTTGGGGAAGAGGATGACTGGGATGAAGAGTAGAAAGATGCGGAGAAGAAAAGGAAGATGACGATGATAATGATAATGGTGGTGGATGAATGTCGTGACCAACCTAATATATTTGAATCACCCATGATAATTTGCTGTTTATCTAGAAGTATGTGGACGACTTAAATGACGTAAAACCATACAGAATATTTTCATGTGACACGCACTGGAGCACCGTAGAGTAACAAGTACGCTCTCAGGGCATTATCCTACCCGTGCGGAACTGCAGGTGAACCCCTTGTGGTGTCGCCGTTACAGGTGTCCTAATTGTAACTTCGTTTGAGGTTAAACAGGGTATCAGGGATCTGCCATGTTTGTTTGCCGTCTAAACTGAGATCTGTCAGTCTCAGGATGGTGGGGTCAACATTTGGGCAGCATCTCGTGGAGACAAACTGATCAAACGATCGATTTTCCCGCCAATTCATATTTATATTTTTGGTGCAACCATGTCATATCCGCCCCGGCATAAAATACCAAACAGATTATTTCACAAAACACGGGGAATGATAATTATTACTTAAATATAAGTTGTAGTTACTACTTACCAGATGTATTTACAAAGTTAGCAGTAACTTGAACAGGTTTTGGCCGATCGAAGGAGATACGTCGAAACTTTGCTTTTTCAAACTGTAAAATCCAGCAGGAATAGTCTGTTTGCTCAGCAAAAAATATGTTGACTGTAAAACTAGTAAAACCAGACTGTCAGATTTAGATACAGTAATTTTTACACCAGTAATATTGATGGTGATAATGTTGAGTAGAATGAGATACACAAGCGAAGTGAATTAAATAGTATAAATTGGTTGGTGTAAATGAACACGATTTCATATGGCAGTTTCTTGGAAGCGGCATACAGACCCGGCTTCAAAACATGTGTCGCAAATAAGTGTGCAGCGAATGGATGTGTGTGCAGCGAATGGATGTGTGTGCAGCGAATGGATTTGTTTGCAGCGAACGGGTGTGTGTCACACGACTTTAAGGTATGGAATAAGTACAAGCAAATTAAAGACCCTTTTCACAACAGGCGCATCAAGAATATAACCGAAGACTCCATTTTTTAATGGATCAGAATGTTGAATGTTGAATTAAGAATCGAAATCACAGCACTCGGGACACTCCCATAAGTGCTCCGTCACCATCTCTGGCAGCAAACGAAGAGTTAAAATTCCGATGGTACCAGTATCTGTCTGATTGTATATCCGTCTCGCCTTTCTCCCTGAGTGTCGAGCGTCGGCCAGATCCCCTTGTAACTACTTGCAGTGTCATTATCCCCAGACCGTAATGATATATCAGTTCCTCGGCACTGTTCACTCGCTCTCAAAGAGGATATCATATGCCAGGCTTTGTTGCGCCAAGCGACGTCCATTTGCCTCCGATATAAACTCCCATGCACTTCGTCTTCCCCTCAACACAGAGCCATCTGTGTATACAATCACATCACTTGGGCAGGAATTGTCATGAATCATTTGTTGAACTTATGCAGCACCAGCTGGCCAGTCCCTGCACTCACGTCTGAAAGTGATAAGAAACCTTACACAAATCTGAGACCTGATCGGACACTTTGACCTATTTCCTCGCCTCACCTAAATTTATCAAGCCTGCACACATGTCCACCTGTGTCTTTAGCAAGCGCCATCCAAGACTTTCCTTTTTTCAGTCTGTGAACCTTAACTCTATCCAGGGCTTCATGCAGGAGGTGTTTCTTGTCCGCAGCTACTCTGAGATATGACTTTGCTTGCAGAAGGAGTGGAATTAAGTAGCCGATAGTGAAGAAGAAATAAGGAAGGAAGAGGAAGAAGAAAATAAGGAGACGATGAATACGAAGAGTGAAGAGATAATATTCTTCTTCTTCTTCGCGTTCATCGGTTGTAAACTCCGACGGAAAAGTTCTGGTTGATCGTCTACTTCTGGGCTTTAGTTCTGTTCCACAAATTGAGTGTTGCGTGTACATTCTTTTCAAAGTTCTGACTCATTTGTATGTAGACTTTTGGTTCCTTGCCTCCCAGGCAGATGCACTCCGACTTCGAAGGAAGCTACCAATTAGACGACTCTTACGACATGCTTTTGGGTAGGCAGTGGATCTATTCTTGTGACCCCGGAAGCCACACGGGGGTGAAGAGTTGATGATCTTGATTATTATGATAAGAATGAAGAGAGGACAAGAAATACGAAGATGAAGAAGAAGAGGATAATGAGGAAGAGTAGAAGAAGTAAAAGTAGAAGCCCCTTCGGCATAATTTTTTTAACTTAGAAATTCTATTAAGTGGTGAAAGGAGGGGGTGGTGCGGGTACTGGCTAAGCTCCCACTTGTTTCCTAATTTATAGGGGCGTGGTTGGGGGAGCTAAAGGAATCTGAGCTCCCACCACCCATTCAGAAAAAAAAAGCATAGCTGATAGGACGTGGGTCTATTCTTGTTGAGGGCGTGCGTGGAGTGTGAGGTTTGGCTCAGGCCCCAACACCCTATTTTGTGAATTTAAGGTCTGGACGGGGGCAGAGCTCGCCACAGTTTTTGCCTAGAAAATTTTTAAGGTTGTCCTGGGTACCTCAGTAGCTCTTTTAATGTTTTCTTTGTGACGACGCACCTGCATGTCAGTAGAAACTCATTTTTTAAAACGCTTGACGAGCAGCTTTCTACCCGGGTTGCCAGATAAAAAAAAAAACTTCTTTTTTATGCCACTACAAAAAAAAAAAAAAAAAACTCCAGAAAACGCCAAATAAAATGTAACATTGCACCCACTTCACATCAAAAGCTCTAGAATGAATTCTTCACTGTCATCCTCACTGGAACAAATTGAAGACATTGTAAACCTTTTCAGATGTAAAATCTTTAATTATTTTCTAAGATGGGGTGAAGTCTTTGCAACATTTGTTTGATATCAATAGTTCTGCTTTAATTCTCACAACTGCATTAAAAAAATCCAGTTGTATTTTGTTTCTTGCTTTTGATTTAAATGAAGTAACAAGAGATAATATTCTCTCAACTACAGCATTGCTAACGGGCATTGTTAAGCAAGTAGGGGCGAAAGTGGCCAACTCTTTAAATACCTGGTGTCGAAATACGCCTATCTAAAAATCTTTACTGTTTGTAAGAAGTCCATCCTTCTTAAGTGTAGCTTTGTCTTTCCAGACAACAGTCAGTTTTCTGTACTGTTCTTCTATTACATTGATGTTGTTTTCTGCCAGGTGTAAAAATTGTAGCTCTGAAAACTGTGTCCTTGATATTT